AGCCTCATTATTGTCATGATTTTATCTTAAGTTGAATTTTGGTTAGTACTGGGGTCTCAAAGAGAATGGAAATCAGCATTTATAGAATTTGGTCAGAAATTACCTGTACTCAGGAGCCATGAGAAGGAATCTAGAACTAGAGGCACCTTGCAGTGAGATCATGTGAGCATGTCTTTCTCATATCCTGTCTTGCTTAGAGATAAGAAAGCAAATCAGTCTAACATTTGAGACTTTTTGTCAGAAATTTAATATTACCCTTATTACTTGGATTCCTTATAATTGTCAAAAACAAGGGACTGTGGAAAGGGCCTGTGGAACTTTAAAATAATATCTTCATAAAATAAAAAGGGGGAGGTATATCCCCATACCCCCCTCCCCAAAAAAAGAATGTAAATCATTAGTTATCTACACCAAAAATCAGGCTAATTTATTCCCAGTGATATAATTTTCTATACTTATGAAACATATCTCTCAGTGCCTCTGAGAGGTTTTGATCCCCAAGGTGTTCAGATGTTTGTGTGCTTCATTTTAAGGACAATGCTTACCACATAAAACTCCCATCTCATTCAGAGTTGGTAGGGATGGAACTATCCTGGGTCAGGTGAACCAGCTCATCTAGAAAGCTTTGCCAACCTCTGGCTTTTTCCTAAGGAGTTGTTTCATTGTGGCCATTTACTGAGTTTTTGTTTGGGGGATAAAAATGCATGGCAGGAAAGGAATGAAAAAGAAAAGCTAACTGACCGTGCAAAGTATCTGTGAGACAAGAATGTAACAAGGTGAGCATATACCCAGATGTCTACACTGATGAAGGCTTTATAAATCTTGTTACTAAACACTTGTATAAAGGATGTGGGCCTGTATGCACATAACTTTACAACTGTCAGTGGTGTCTCTGCATTTTTCATTCACTTACTTTATCACTTTGCATATAGTAATAACTTTATTAAATATTTGTTTTGAATATGTTAATTAACACACATACATATTTACAAGCTATAGTATGTCAGTAAGTCTAGACAATGTGTAATGATCAGATTAGAATAATTGGCATACCATCAATTCTCATGTTGATCAGCTCTTGTTGTTGAATATAATTAAAACTTTTTCTGGTGCCATTTTGAATTAATTAATTATTGTCAACCAAATCACCTCACAGTGGCGTAGAACATTAAAATAGTTTTTGTATTCATCCTCAGCCCCTTTAGCATTCTTGAATTAGCATCCTGGCCCACCTCCCTTTATAGCTGCCAGGAATGATTAGTTAATTTTCAGTTCTGTCATTCTCTGTTAGATTTGTAATCTTTAAATAAAGTAATGGAATGTGGACATAAAAATGAGGAAAATGATGAACAAAATAATTAATTTCTTGGTGATATGTGGAAAATATGGTTTGTCTCGCTTTTTGTGCTTTGTGCCTCTAGTATTTCTAAAATTCCAAGTTTCTATTATTTTGATTTTTCACTCTACAACTTAAGTTTCAGCACATCTTACTCTGATAATACTTCCATTGTTATTTCTTAAGTAGCTCTTTGGATGAATTTGTTAAATATATAGGAAACAACATTGTGTATTATTGCAATCATGGTTTTTTTAACATGTTTTCCATATTTTGATAGTTCTTAAGTTAGAGAGTGGTTGTGTGGCTCACATGAACCTCAACCCTGCTTTTCAATGTATTCCCTAAGTGCTATCTTTATCAAGATTATAGAGATGAAAACAGTACAAACAGTACATTTCTTTGGTACAAACATTTAACTCAAACTAGTGAAAATTTAAAAAATTGTTTAAACTCCAAAGTATATCAGATACTACCCAAAACAAGAGACCTAGAGTATGCTTGTTTTCATAGTTTTACTATGTGTATTAAGTGTAGTTTAGATAGTCTGAATAAAGCTAAAACAATTAATGACTTAAGTTAAATAAAAGGTAACTATTTAATATATTACAGTATCATTTTGCACGCATTTGACAAGCTGGCTCCAAAATATAAAGAAAGCTCTCTCTACAATTAAGGCCTCTACACTTGATTTTAAAATACTTGAGTAAGTATTTTTTTCTAAAGAAAATGAAATTGTGGCTGAAAGATGTGTGGTATAGTACTTAGTATCATTTATATTGGGGAAAAGGCTTTCAAACTCAAGCTAGTATCTTACTATTGTAAGGATGACCACATTTAAATAAGAAATAGGAATAAATATTAATGTGTATCTAGATAAGTTAGAACCCTGCTACATTTGTAGGGATGAGAAAATGGTTCAGACAATTGTGATACGTATTATGGAAGCTCCTCAAAGACAAACAGAAGAAACATATGATCTAGCATTCCTGAGTATATACTCAAAAAGAATTGGAAAAAATTTCCTGATACAGAAAACCTAAAATATCATCTTTTATAAAATAAGCATTAACAAGCCTATTAATATCACAGTATGATAAACAATTGTCAAGATGCTTAAGCACAGTGACTGTTGAACAACAGGAACACACGAAAATAAATGTAATAAAATAGAATGTTGTAAACTCAAAAAATATTTGTATCTAAACAAGCAGAAATCCTACACCTGCCAAAAATGAAGCAGTATGGATAAACCATGTTTCATTATGTTAAAATGACATAAGCCAATTTGGGAGGGATGAATTATGCATGACCCATAGGTATTGGGTATCTAAAATCACCAAACATATAGAAACAAGCAATAGAATGGCCTAAGAGGCAGAGAAAGGGAAAATTGCTAACTAATGTACATACAATTTCATTTGTAAAAGTATAACAAGTTCAAAGAATCTAATGTTAAACATTGTGCCTGTAAGTAATAACATCACATTTTACACCTAAATGTCATTACAGCAGACCTCTAATAAGTGTTAGTACCCAAAGAAAGTGACTATAGTATTTCTGGTACACTGAGGATGAAAAATATCCAATATTTGTATATTGTTTTAAGAGTACCAAAAAAGTAAAGGAGATTTATAGTCAAGGTCTTGGAGAGTGTGATGGAATTAATATCATTGATCAAACAGAGCCTGGTTTCAAGCAGAAGCCAGTTTATGTCTTTATAACTCATTTTGTAAGTGTTGGGGAAGCAACGCACTGAAATATTGTGGTCAAAAATTTAAGAATGTTAATTTTTTTTTCAAATCAGAGTAAGCTTAGCCAGAGAAGATGTGTGTGTGTGTGTGTGTGTGTGTGTGTGTGTGTGTGTGAGAGAGAGAGAGAGAGAGAGAGACAGAGAGACAGAGAGACAGAGAAAGAGATGGAGAGAGAGACAGAGAGACAGACTGTCAGACATAGACAGAGAGACAGAGACAGAAAGAATCTGATAGAGACAGAGACTGAGAGACAAAGAGACAAAGAGACAGAGAGACAGAGAGAGAGAGGGAGAGAGACAATGAGAATAAAGAGTGATATCTACATGTTCAAGTAATTATGAGTATATACTACAGTTTCAGACTCAAATAGAAAACAAAATATAAGTATGTAAAGGACATTCATATTTCTTGTTTTATATTGTAGTAAATATGATGAAAAGATGCTAAAAGTTAGGAAAGAAGTGTATAACTCAGCTATGACATGAGAAAAGTGCAAATTTAACTACCTACAAAAGAAATGTGGAAGAAAACTACGTGACACAAGAGAAACTTTCATAGTTCAGGCGGTCCCATAGAGGCTTCAAGTGATTTCAGTTTGTAACTTTTTTTTTCTTCTAAATTAGAAAATTTAGAAGAAAAAATTGTGTGGAGTTTCTGGACGGAGTTTTAAATAGACAAAGCTTATAGGTGTGTAAAGAGATTAGACAATGAAAATGGCAGCGATTTGATATGAAATGCAGCTATTTTGGAAAAACAAAAGAAGTAGAGTTGTTAGGAAATATGTAGTTTTTCTGACATGGTAAGTCCTGCACACTGAAGCGGGCAGGGACCTGTTTAGAGAAGTAAAAGAAGATTGCCTTAAGTGGGCCGGGAAAGGTTGAGATGAAATATAGGAGAGGCATCTAGATCTAAGAGTTTAAATGTGTATTGAGTGTGTCAGTTAATAAAAGGAGAGGAAAACTGTCAAGGAAAGTGGCTGAGCACAGAAAATTAATGTCAGATATTCTTGTCGCAGAATGCCAAATAGAAATAGTATTGAATATATATACCTATACATATATACATGCATGTATACATGTATCCATAAATAATCAATTTCCTTTGATTCATCAAGGCATTCTCTACATAATTACTTTTAATCTTTCTGTGCATTAAAATCTTCTGCCATACCTTCATAATGGAAACAGCACATAAAACAACTGAAGGTTTCACATACTCATCTGAAGTCAATCTGGGGCTATTATGTTTACCTGAGATGAAGCAAGCTCCTAATTTCACCTTTTCTCTTTAGCTATTTTTAGCATTCTATCACAAAATCAATTGCTAACATCTCCTCAACCATATCAAATATATTCAAAACAAGTATAAATTTTCTAGTTGAAATGTAAACTACCTTAATGCTGATTATATAATGTTATATATTTACTTGTTGGCTTCCTCCATTAGGTGTCAAGCCTTTAAATTATTTAGTGCAATCTATACTAGTCAGTGTGAAATTTTTTCCTATGATAGAGGAAAATAAAACTTATTAATTCTCAGAAAGGCTGTACATTACAACAATTGTTACTTACAAAGTTTATTTATGGTATGGAACTTACACCCCACCCCCAATACAAGTGCAAGAGTCAGCTTTGTGCATGAACATCTGGCTTTTGTCCTTTGTCTTTGTAGCCCATTAGTCCTTGAAGAAAGCCACTTCATTTCTTTTATATTTATGTACAAAAAGGTGCAACAAATTACTTTTTGAAGTAATATAAAAACAGCTTGGACTTAAGTACTGATGAGACAAAGAGTTATTTCTTGATGGGCTTTGTTATTGGGAAAGATAAAACATTATTATCTAATTCTACAGAGTTAAATGATCCGGATCGCTGATGCACAGCGTAAGGAATAGTAAGGATAATAGAAGCATGGTCTCTCCCAATCACACACAATTCCACCCCTACTTTTTTCTTCTTCTGGGAATTCCAGGGCTGGAGGCTGTACATATATGGATTGGATTTCCATTTTTGTTGTGTATTTGACTGCTCTTCTGGGAAATATTACAATTATTTCTGTGATTCTGACAGAACACAGTCTCCATCAGCCCATGTTCTACTTCCTGTCCATTCTGTCATCTATTGACCTGGGCTTGTCTACATCCACCATCCCCAAGATGCTTGGAATCTTCTGGCTCAATTTAAAAAAGATATCATTTGATGGCTGTGTTATCCAAATGTTCTTCATCCATCTGTTTACAGGTATGGAGTCAGCTGTGGTTTTGGCCATGGCGTGTGATCGCTACGTGGCCATCTGTAATCCTCTTCACTACACACTGGTGCTGACAAACAAGGTAGTATTCATCAATGCTTGGCTTGTCCTCCTGAGACCCTTAGTCATTGCAATTCCCTTTATTGTGCTCGTCCTGAGATTACCCTTTTGTGGACATCAAGTCATTCCACATACATACTGTGAGCACATGGGCATTGCTCGCTTGTCTTGTGCCAGCATCAAGGTGAACATCATCTACGGCTTGTGTGCCATCTCTAACCTGGTTTTGGATATTGTAGCAATTATCCTCTCCTATGTCCAGATCCTCCATGCTGTCTTCCGCCTACCTTCCAGGGATGCTCGACTAAAGGCTCTCAGCACCTGTGGCTCTCATGTCTGTGTCATGCTTTCCTTCTATACACCAGCATTTTTCTCCTTTATGACTCATCGGTTTGGGCGAAATGTTCCCCGATACATTCATATTCTTCTTGCCAACTTTTATGTTGTTATTCCTCCTGCTCTTAACCCTGTTATTTATGGTGTTAGAACTAAGCAAATAAGAGAGAGGGTAGTTATGACCATCAGAAATAAATTATAAACATTTGCATGTTTGAAGTTAAGGGATTTACATGAAAAAAAAAACCTGGACCTATCTTTCAAAGCTCTAAAATAAAATTACGTATCTGGGAAAAAAGGCTATCTGATATACAGATTTATGAAGCATTTTATTTGTAGTAATGAGAAAAATAAGCTCCAAGTTTTTAATATAGACAATAGCTTCAACCACATATCAGAAATGTCAATGGTGGTATGATGAAGTAGCATTTACATGAAAAATCACATAGGCATAGTAGAAACGACTAGCATAGTAATATTAAAGAATGCATGAGCAAAAATTCAGTTTTCAAACCTTGTGTTAATGTTAATTCATTATTTTGTGTGCATATGTATATATGTGTATGTTTCTATGTGTGTGTATATATGCACATAGGTACATGTTCATGTGTGTTTACACGTATGTGCATGAAGGACAAAAGTTGATGCCTAGTGTCTTTCTTGATAATCCTTAATTTGCTTGAGACATGGTCTCTTTCTGAAAATGGTACTCATTAATTCTGCTAGGGGGCTCCAATGAGCTCTTGGAATTTCCATGCCTTTGACCCCTATCAGTGCTGAGGTTGTAGATATGTGTTACCACAACAGGCTTCTATGCAGATGCTGGAGTTCTGAGATAAGGTCCTTGTGCTTATACTGTGAGTCATCTCTGTAGACCCCAAACTTGTTACTTCTTATTTCTGCAATATGGAACATAGACTACTTAATAATGCTTTTTGTCACCAAAGAAGCTTAGGCAGTGACCTGATATAGAATCATGTACAGAGGATTTAAGGTGTGGTAAACAGACAGATAAAGACACACAGGAAAATATAGAAATCTGAAGGGATAAAAAAAATACACATGGCCAGGTGGATAAAGAACACACAGTCTTTTAATGAAGTATTAAATGTTTGTTTGTATGTGTATTTGTGTGTCTCAGTGTGTGTGTGTGTGTGTGTTATGTGTGTAAGCACACCTATCTGTCTCTGTGTGAATGTATACCATGTAGATGTAGATGCCTACAATAGACAGAAAAGGGAATTGGATCTTCTAGTTCTAAGTTACCAGATTATAAACTCATGATATGTGTGCTGGAAACTGAATTCTGGGCCTTTGAAAGCCCTCTTAAACACCAATCCATCTCTCAGACCCATAAGGTACGTTTTTTTCTAATAGAATAAAGAAACAATATTAGTACAAGGTAACAAAAGTGGAGGTTAAGACCAAAGTACAATGATGGAAATGTTGCAGTCCGTTCATGACAGCATATGGCGTCTATGGGTTAATAGAGTGTGAGGAACTGAGAGCTAGAATGGAGAGTGAAGGAGAAGAGTAACAACTCCAAAGTCAGTGTCCATAGGAATGAAAGAGCACCAAGTAAGAATGACAGTGTTAAATAAAATAAAACGACCCTCAAACACAAAACAGCAGCATGCAGATTGTTCTTCAGCTGTACTTTTATAAAAATAGTTAACAAATGTGTAAGTGGTAAATAAACATACTGTATAGCATGCCAAGAAAATAATAAAATTGGTTTCTCTATATGCATTTTAATGACTAACATATAAAAATACGACATTAATGTCTATAGCATATGAGGTTAATTAGAATCTCATAACTGAGTAAAAGACTATTATTCCATGAGTAATTTAGAATGTACATTTTAGACATTAAAATTTTAAAACAAAAATATCTGTGTACTCTTTATGTATAATAATAGGCACAATGTACTACAAGAAACAAAATTGAGGGTTAAAGATAAGAAACAGCAATTCACTATGCCAGGGAATTAAGAAACAAATGTAGATACTCATAGCCAACCATCAAGATGAACCCGAAGACCACAATGGAAAAGCTAAGGGAAGGACTGAAGGAGCTGAAGGGGATTGCAACCCCATAGGAAGAACAATATCAACTAATTGGAGCTTTCAGAGCTCACAGAAACTAAACCACCAACCAAAGAGTATACATGGAAGAATCCATGGATCCAGCTACATATGCAGCAGAGAACGGCCTTATCTGGCATCAGTGGGAGGGGAGGCCCTTGATCCTGTGGAGGCTTGATGCCCCAGAGTAGGGGGATGCTACAGCAGTGAGGCAGGAATGGGTGAGTGGATAGAGGAGCATAGAGGCAAAGGGGAGGGGGAACCAGATTGGGGTTTGTGGAGGGGAAACTGGGAAGGGGGATATCATTTGGCATGTAAATGAATAAAATGATAAAAAAAAGAAAGGAAAACAATTAAAAAAAACAATCAATATTGCTAATGAGATAGTAGGTAATGTTTTCTGACCACTTAAGTTTTTCAGAACTATACTTGGTACTTTGGGTTGTTCACTTTTTTGAGTAAAGATTCAGATTTTAAGCATCGTACATAGCCTTTTAGCTCTCTTTCATTCTCTTTCTATGTCTCTGTCTGTCTGTCTGTCTCTCTGTTTGTCTCTGTCTCTGTCTCTCTCACATACACACACATACACACACACACACACACACATACACACAGAGCAATAAAAAGAAATTTTAAAAAAAGGTTGTCAATTTGAGAGGGGTGTGAGGGAAGATAGCTGAATTTTGCTCGTGGACTGGAAGTGGGAGGGGACAGAATCTAGAAAGATCAGGTTGCAAAAGGAATGGAGAGAGAGCAGGGAGAGACATCTGGAATTGGGGAGCATTGGGGAAGTGGTGTGAAAACCTAATGCAGTGGAGACTTCCTGGAATCTATGAGTGTGCCCCTAGTAAGGATGCCTAGTAATGGAAAATATGGAGTCTCAACTGCCCATCTTTTGCAGCCACATACGGTTTCCAGTGGTGGGATTGGGTTATATTCAGTTGAGTTGTTAACCAAGGGCATTCTATGGAGATTCCTAAACAGCTCAGGCTGATTTAGGACAGAAGGTTACTCTCCACAAACAGTGGGGCCGTATTGCTGAGAATAACATTTTTTTTATTAATCATTTTGTCATATTTCAAATGATTCCCTCCTTCCTGGTTTCCCTTCCACAAACACCCCATCACATCTCCCCTCCCTTTTGCCTTTATGATGGTCCTGTTCCACCTACTCACCCACTCTTGCCTTGTTGCTCTAGCATTCCCCCTACACTGGGGCATCAAGCCTCCACAGGATCAATGGTCTCCCCTCCCATTGATGCCAGATGAGGTCATCCTCTGCTACGTATATATCTGGAGCCATGGATCCCTCCATACATACTTTTTGGTTGATGGTTCAGTCTATGGGAGCTCTGAGTGATCTGGTTAGTTAGTTGATATTGTTCTTCCTATGGGGCTCAATCCCTTTCAGCTCCTTCAGTCCTTCCCCTAGCTCTCCATTGGGGTCCCATGCTCAGTCCAATGGTTGGCTGTACCTTCGTCTGAATTAATCAGGTGCTGGCAGAACCTCTCAGGGGACAGCCATACCAGGCTCCTGTCAGCAAGAGCTTCTTGCCATCACCATAACGTTAGGGTTTGGTGTCTGCAGATGGGATGGATCTCTAGGTGGGGTGGTCTCTAAATGGCCTTTCTTTCAATCTCTACTCTTTTTTTTGTCCCAGTCTTTCCTTTGAACAGGAGCAATTCTGGGTTAAAAATTTTGAGATGGGTAGGTGTAGCTCATTGAGCATAGAGGAGTCAAGCTGGTGCTTCTCATGGACCCTTCACCCCTACTTTCTTGTCTTTTTGGCTTGAGAAGATGCCTGTAGAGAGAATCTTTTGTACAAGGGGTGTAAGCTTTACCTGTCAGTAAAAGATTATTTGCCTATGAGCTAAGGCAGGACATAGGGAGGTGGAAATTTCACGATAGAAGATTCTGGGATAGAGTTGAAGGGACAGGAGATTTCGCTGAACATTAACGGAGATAGGTGCATGAAACTGAAAAGAGAGACTAAACACACTTCAGGACTTAGAACAGAATAAATGGGATAAAGTACAAGCTAGCCAGGGAATCAGAAAAGACCTATGGCCTAAGTGTTATTCATAGTTAATATGCCTCAGGGTCATTATTTTGGGAACTTGGGTGGATGTAGAAAAGCCCACAGTTACAGGTCTCCTATAGGATATGGACCGAGAAACCTGGACACTAATCCAGCCATGAAATCTCTGCCTATAATCAGTCCTATCTACAAAACGTGCTAGGATAACAGTAGCATAGAACTTGTGGGAGCAGCCAGCCAAATTTAGTTTAACTTGAGCCCATGCCAGGAGAAGGGTCCATACCCTATACTGCCTGGATGACCAGGAACCAGAAACTACATAAATCAGAGACCTAGAGTACAACTAAACATAAATGGCAAAAACCAAACCAAACCAAAAACAAAATGAACAAACAAGCAAAAAACCACCACCACCACTACCACCACCAATAACAACAACAACAACAACAAACCAATCAAGCAAACAATGAAATAATTCTTAATGATACTCTATAGATTTACTGTCTCATATAGTCATGAAGTTAGAAAGGCTTCATCTGGCAGCAGATGAGAGTGGGTACAGAGACCCACAACCAGACAATTTGCACAGAGAGTCTAAATTGAAGCTCTCCATCAGGTATCTCCTGACCAAGATTGGGGGAGAGTATCAAAGGTCAGAGGGGATGGAGAACACCAGGAGAACATGGCCTACAATAGCAATTAAGCAGCTCACATGGACTCACAGAGACTGAAGCAGCAAGCATGGCCTACATGGGTCTGCACCAGGTTCTCTGTATATGTTATGGCTATTAGCTTAGGAGTTTTGCACGACTCCAACCAGTGGGACCAGGTGTGTATCTGATTCTTTTGCTTGTTCTTGAAGCTCTTTTCTTTCTTTCTTTCTTTCTTTCTTTCTTTCTTTCTTTCTTTCTTTCTTTCTTT